CCCACCCGTGTAGGAATTCGTGCATGGGGCATCTAGTATATTTATATTTTACATTTCTCAATGCTCACATCACTATTTTGATGTTCTATTTCCTACATTAAAACTTTCCATTATATATAAAATTGGCAAATATATGACAATAGGAATAAGAAGTTTTCTAAATAGTTACCTAAAGATACTTTCTATATTAAAATAATAATTCTTTATATAAATAATTTGGATTTAAAAATTTTTATTGTAATCACACTGAATATACAAGCCTAGATTGTGTGTGTGTGTGTGTGTGTGTGTGTGTGTGTGTTTTCTTTTCTATTTTCATCTATATTTTGTTTATGGTTATACTACAATTATGTTATTTGTTAATATTTATGCAATTTTCAAAATTGCAATTTATTATTACTACATACTACTAACTATGTTGACTTCTTTTTCCATGTTCATTAATAGCTTTAAGGCTGCATTAATTCTCATAGAGAATAAAAAGGAACCAGGAGAGAAAGCTTGGCACCAGACACTTCAGTTGCTTCAGTCCCCAACCAATTTACTCAGAACCTAAATATAACAAATATCTGTTCTGTCATTGTTCCAAATTCTTTCCAGGCAAAAATGCAAATATATAGGATGAAAAAAAATGTTAATATGCAAATGCATGACTTATTTGATCACTGCCATCATTATTAACTTAGGCATCCCTTTTATTGCATTTCTGGTTGTTTATGAATATCTTCATTATGTATTTCTTGTTGGTGAATATGTTTTGTAATTCAGAGTTTTAGTTGTTTACAAAGAGTACTTTGACCTAGATTCTGAGAAACAGAATTCATTGGCCAGAAGTATATAAATTTTAAAAATGATATATAGCCTGTTCAGAATGAGACAAACCTGATTTATGAACTTCTTGGGGGAGAAACAAGTAAACTTTCCTCAAATGCCTCTTTCATTTTCTTGACAAGGAAGTTGAACAAACAAAATGAATGCGCAAAAAGTTGGTATTTTATTTAAATTTGTCTGTAATGGAATTCATGGAGCAGAATTCATACTAAGAAAGATCTAAAATGATTAAGAACATAATTCATCAAATACAGGAGATAAATAATAACTTGCTTGCTTACATGTTACAAGCTAAGTGTGCACTTCCCAAGCAGTTTCCATCTGGTGGTGGATTCTTTAGCAGCTTTTATTCATATCAGTCAGCCATGAAGCATTTCCTGGAGATGTCTTTGGAACGTGGTGGTTTGATAGAAACTCATATTTTTTTCTCCTCATAATTTGACAAATAATTTAGTGAGAAATGTAAGTAATAACTAGCTTCACAGTCATTTTCAATGGTGAAGGTGAAGACAGAAGAGAGGAACAGTTATCAGCCTAGTCTAAATGAATTTAGGAAGCAGCACAATCATGAGAGACAACTTTGGATCAGATCTGCTTTAAGACTTTTGTTAACTTTAAGCACTGTTGCCCTCACATTCTGCCTTCTACATTAAATTATATATACATTACATATTATATAAATATACATATTATATTATATATTACATAATTACATAATTACACACACACACACATATATATATATCATATATATATATATTTAGATGGTATAATGACAAGTATTCTGATGCTATATATTAAAATATCCTATATAAGAAGAGCCAAATATGCTAAGTGTCCAGTCATCCTGTTGGCTGTTCAACAAATCAAACATAATATGCAAATGATATGCTAAGGCCGCACAACTGCTCACTTTGATGTGCACTGACCATCAGGGGTCAGACTGCTGACTGGTCAACCAGTTGCTATGTCATGCACTGCCCACCAGTGGGCAGATGCTTTGACCAGTAGGTTAGCTTGCTGCTGAAGTCCAGCTGATCGGGATTGAGCAAGATGGGCCAGGCAGCCCTGAAGCCCTCAGTGATCTGTTCCAGGTTGGCACAATCTCCTATTGTGCACAAGTTGAATCCCTTGGACTGGGCTGTGCCCTCTTGCAATCAGGGATCCCTTGGGGGATGTCTGAGAGCCAGTTTTGTCACAACAGCTGAATAGACTGGGCAGTATGATGCACACTACCCACCAGGAGGCAGATGCTCAATGCAGTAGCTGTCTCCCGGTGATTAGTACACTCCCACAGGGAGAGTGCTGCTTAGCCAGAAGCCAAGCTCATGACTGGCAAGTGCAGCAGTTGTGGCAAGAGCCTCTCCCTCCTCCACAGCATTCAGACATCCTCTGAGGGCTCTCAGACTGCAGGAGGGCTCATGCCAGGTTGAGGGAAACCCTCTGAGTACACGAATTTTATGCACTGGGCCTCTAGTTTTATATATAACTTTATTGGTGTAAATATTAAATAGATTAAAGATATATATTAAACCACTTTCTTGTACATAAAAGTTTAAATCTTCTCCCAAGTTCAAAAGAAATAAAAGTGACCCATTAGGCATAGTGATGAGGGCCCACACTTACTTTCAAAAGATCATAAGGTCTTTGAAAGTAAGTGTGGGTCCTC